TCAACACTCATAACCAAACTTAGGCTTGCCATGGAGTAGGCAGAATAAACAAAATCAGATGCTCCAAAGTTGACTCACAAACAAAATCAGCAGCAAAATCAGATCAAAAACATCTTCAAGAACATATAACTTACAAAGTCATATATTCACAACTGAAAAAATTAAGAATAAAGCAGCTGGAAATAGGATGCTCATCACCACTTCATTCATCAATTCCATGGCTGAATCAACACAAACCCTCAATTTCTTGTGTTCCCTTGCTTTTGCAGTGCTGCTCATCACCACTTCATCATCACCACCATCAGTCCAATCTTGATCAATATCTTCCTCCTCTTCATCACCATGATCAGCAACATGATAAACTTCAACATGGGTATGCCCTAGGCCATCAAACTTGCCAAGCTCACAGTCCATCAAGTCATCACAGCTGCATGAGAGTGCATCATCTTCCGCTGCACCCATCAGCTCTGCATCCACTGCAGCTATATTTAGCTCAGAAATGGCCTCTGAATCACCTGTGGCCTCAAAGAGCATCATAGAAGATAAATCAACAAATTCTTTCTTCTCGTCCATCTTCCTACACAGGAGGCTGAGAAGAATTGGTTATTTGGGATAGAAGTGAACCTTCCTATGCATATAGTTGCCCATTAACAGCATTTGTTATTGGCTAGTGAAACATCAATAAAAGATTACTTCAACTAAAAATAGAAAAGTACCTTTCTAACTAAAATTTGACTAAAAATTTAGTTAGTTTAATGAGATGCTCTTTGTCAAAAATAATTATTGGGTTTAATAAAATTTACCTCCCAGGCAAAAATTTTGTCAACTCTGCCCACTTGTTCCCATAAATTTGATGGGCGCTAATCAAAGTCAATTCCGCTTCTTGCGTCCAGGCCTCCTTGCTGATATTTGGATTAAGGTGATTATGCCACCTAGGAAGAGGAAATCATTTGCATATCAAAAATATTAAACCATCAATTCCCTAACACAGATAAAAGAATTTAAAAAAGTAATGAAATGGAATAAAATACAGCTTTTAGATATATGTTCTAGTGAGCTAATGCCAACAGAAAATACAGCTTTTAGATAAATATAGGACACCAACACCCATAGGAATGGATGAAACACAGAAACTTCACAATAACAAAACAATATAAATTAAAAGCAAAGCATTTGCTACAAGTAGCAATGACTGGGCTACTGGCTCAAGGGGAGGAGAGGTGAGATGGGAAAGTTTGCATAGAATACTGAACTGGTGACAAAATAGAGGCAATTTCCAAATCAAATAACCAATCCAACCACAAATAAAGAAGTTCCAAATCCTGTACATAGTGTCAGTAGCAAAATTTTCCTTTGATTGCAATATTTCATGTGTAGAAATCAAATGGTTATTTGCTTATAACAAGACAAGGAGAATACAGTACAGAATATTGATAAAGTTACATAACTTATCCACCAATTCAACTATAATTTCATCCTCCTGTACATAAGTTACGGGAATAATTAATTTGATCAAATTAGTATTTATGAGATAATCCATATATTAGTAACTTAAAGAGGGAAAATTTGACAGAAATTAAGAGAATTTGACAGAATTTGACAGAAAATTTTACAGAAATTTGATCAAAATTTATGAGATAATACATATATTAGTAAATTTGACAGAAAATTTGAAAAATTAATCGATGTTACAGCCACCTATGCTACAATACCATAAATTCAGCTAGGTTCTCCATTCACTGAACCCAAATAATTACAATCTATATTCTAACAGAAATTACAACAAACATATGGTGTGCAATACAAATACATAGACAAATAAACAGAAATGACAAAATTTATTACCTCCCTTGAGCAAAAGTTTGAGAAAAAGATAGAGAGGATGAGAAAGTTTGTGAGATTTGGAATGCTTTCTCTATGGATTTGTTGGGGAGGTACTGATACAACTTTTAGTGCAAAATTAAGGGAAAAATTTTACCTCCAAAAATAAAATTCAGGAGCCAAAACAAACAAAAAATTAAAAGGTGCATGAACAGTACCTCGCTTGTCCTGGCGAGGTACTGTAGCTCGCAATCATCTTAGCGATGCTTGAGCGAGTCTGCTGGAGCCATCTTTTACCCTTCCAAGCTAGCTATAGGGCTGGTTTGGGAAGTGGGTTGACTTTTTGGCTTTTTGACTTTTTTGGCTATTTTAGCCTGGGCTAAAAAGCTTGATTTGGGAAAGGCTTTTTGGTTTTTTGGTTTTTTTGACTTTTTTTTTGAGAGAATAGCATAATGGTTATAGGTTGGATGTGATATTTTGTTTGTTGTGGCTAAAATAGTCTATTTTGTCTTTTGTAGCTATTTTAGCCAAAAAAGCCCCAAAAGCCTCTTCCCAAACAAAGGCTATAGTAACAAAAATGGAGGAATAGAGAGGCTTCTGGAGATGCTCTAAGAAAAGATATGCAAAAAGTATAGAGAAAAGAGAATCTTTGACTTTTTGATATAGATTATAGATTTTTTGATTTTTTTAATAACTTTTGACGTTTTGACTAAAATGTTAACTTGCCACAAAGAAGCCTAAGTTACATTATTTATCTGTTTATTATACATATATTTTTAAAAAAAATTAATTTTTAACCAATCTCTCCAAACAAAACCACTGGACTACCACTACTCAATCAAAACCAGCAAGCTTGTCGATTTGTTGTTCCAGCTTCTCTGAATCTCAACTTCGCCAAATCTAGGGGTTTTTTTTTTTGTTCTTTTTCCCAAACCATGTGTGATAGTGTTTCTTCAACATCACTCCTCCTTCCTTTTTATAGTATTGGATCACCAAATTCAAGTTTTAGTAGATGCACATGCATACCCAGAATTGTTCGCACTCCACAAATCTTTACCTGTAATTGGGATAGAGCGAGCTCTAGAAATGGTGGGTCACCATTGATCAGTGCTTGTTTCAGATCGAATGAAGCCGAAACGAAGATCAGACGAAATTCAATTCCAACTGAGTCGAGTGAGAATGATTTTTATGGGGAATTAGGGTTTATGGAGAAAGGTAAAGAGCAAATTGAGCTTGAAACAGCCCCAGACGACAAAATAGAGAAAGGGAAATCAAAGAGGGAAAAAAGGATTGATATTGGCTGGGGAACAAAGGTGGATGGCCCAAGTGATGATCCATCGGTCTCGTCCGGTGTCAATTTTATCGAATTCAATGGTGAGAATGGAGCAGAGAGTGTTGGGAGATTAAAAGATGAGAATTTGGTTAGAACTGAAGAAGGGTGTGATGGGGTTGGTTCGAAATTGGAGGAATTGGAGCAGAGCAATGTGGGCTCAATTGATGCTAGGAGGGGAAGACAGCTAACGAAGAGATCGAACTTGCTCGCAAAGCAAGTCATAAGCATTCAATCTGCTCTCAGCCTGGGTTTTGTCTCTCAACTTTGGGTTGATACTGTATCTGTGAGTGTATACCCACACATTCATCTTCAATTGTTATTGTAGTTTGATTGGAATCTAGGAGTTCCCAAAACCAACTTAGGAGCAATGCACCGTAATGTTAAATGATCGACTAGGTGACAAGAAAGATTAAGTAGATTAGCTATACGATTAATTGAAAAGGATATGTTAGCAAAACTTGAGGATAAAGATTTAACTAGTAATTTTGCATCTCAAAAAGCTAGAAAAATAAAATTTCAATAAATTTTTTCCCAACAATATTAGAAAATGTAAAATTCCTTATTTGCAGGACTCGAATTGTCTCTAGGCAGCCCTGTTTCTAAATTCCTATAACATATCACCATGGATAATGGACTGTGTGAGTGAACAAATGTTCTCTTGAAATTTGAGTTTGAGTGGGTATTCTGTCTAGTGGCTGTCAACCAACCAGGGTGAAAGTAATTTGTTATAGTCTACTTGCTTTTGCTAGTAACTTATGCACCATTCATGCTATAAAGACAATCTACAGAACTCAAATATTGACTGAAAGTGGCAAAGCACACATTTGCTGATGGTTGCACTTGATCACTAAACATTTCAATCCATATTTACACAATGCAATGAAGTGAATTATAAACATCTTTCATGTTATATTCTTGCCCTGCTGATACTGTTAAAAGTTCACAATATATTCTTCATTAAGATTCTGGTTGGTTTGAAGGCAGGTTAGGTAATTACTCTGTTGTTGCCATGTGATTTATGACTCCATGACAGTAATTTAAACTGCAGTTTGGCTATCCTTTTTTTCCCTTCCACATATTTTCATTAGTATGTTAGACTTTGTTAATTATGTGGTGGCACTTATTCCTGCTATTGTTTCCGCCCTTTCTTGTTCTTCATAGTGGGTGGTATTGATCATAGAGGTGCGGCCAAACTTGCTTTCTGGGGAATTAGAAAGGTTTTTTCTGGAGGATATTAGTCAGGTAAACATTTTCCTCTGCAGTTGTGCTGTGTGCGTGTGTGTGTTTGTCAGCCTGTCTGCGAACACATGTTTGATGTTTTAGCGATGTGTGATATCCCTGACATAGTTGTTGTCTTTCCATATAAAATGAGTGTGATAACTTGAAAGGTGAAGATAATACATTGACAGCAACAATGACTGATGTGCTGGTTGTTTTTGGATTTATTTATTTATTTTTTGGAAAAAAGGTGGCATAAGGATCCTTCATCTTTTGTGATTTGTTTATATTTTAAGTTATATAGATTCATATAGAGTTACTGAACGCTACTCTATGTGGCATGATGGTGAGCTTAAGAGACCTGTTACTGTTGTGAGATATCTTGTTTTATTCAGACAATGTTATCAGAGGTAATGGTTACATGGTTTTTTGTGTCCTGAGGATCCTTCACCCAAGTGAACAAATGGTATATAATTGAGTGTAAATGGTTAAGTGGTTACATTATTCTTTGTTATTGTTGTTCATCAATTCCATTGTTCAATATAATTGAGTGTAAGGTGTACTGTTTTTCCAGGTTGGTGATGTTGTGCTAATCCCTGATGAGAATGTGATGGAAAATGAGTTGAAAATGGTTGGACTGGAAACGTTGGTATGTTGTGCTCACTTATTTTCAATTCCTTCCTGTTTTATGTAAATAAGAGGACATGATTCCTACCGTGGTTATTTGGTTATGTCCATTCACTCACAAGATCTTGCCTCAATTTTGATAGCCTCGTCAAATTGAAATTTCTAACACCTTATCCTTTAAAACATCGTTGCATGCACGGTTAAGACATGCATACTGTTCTTTTCAGGAATTTTGTTACGTCCCATGTGGATTAAATTATTGCACTGGGTTGTATAGACTTCTAAATATTGTTTATTGCCATCATTTTAGTAACACTTTTTCAATTTTATATTTTTTTATGACTCTTATGCCCATGTGTGGATTTACGCACTTGAATGCCCATGGAATGCTTGAATGCCCTTCATCAATTTAATCACCTTGGCTCGTTTTGCTGTCTTCAGGATCTTGTATATCAATTTTTTGTTTTAAGTTTTTAATCAGTAAAATTATTTGTTAGGTAGGATACAATGTGGTGACACCGGGTCGGCAAAATATTGGCAAGGTATGCCTGTGCTTCATGCATCACCATCTTCACATGCACTGAAAGTTCATGTGCTTTCCTTCCACAATCATCTTATCATCTACATCTTATTTCTTTTAGGTGCGGGGATACAATTTCAGCATTAACTCAGGAGCTGTAGAATCGCTCGAGCTTGATTCTTTTGGAATGTCTATCATCCCATCAAGTTTGGTAGGTAGATGGGCCATTAATTTAATAGCATAAATGTATTTGCCCTAGGGTCTTCTCAAATGGGCTAAGCTTCCATTTGGTTACGAGTTCCATCTAGAACAAGGTTCGATGCAATTTGATTGTTACACTTCCAGGTGAGCACCTATGCTTTGCTTGTTGAGGATGTTCTGGAAGTTGTATCTGACACTGTTGTAGTCCATGAAGCTGCAGCTTCATCGATACAGAGGCTAACTAAGGTACTTACTATGAATCCACTGATGATGGCTTTTAGTTGTGTTGTGTTGTGTTGTATTGTATTGTATGTATTACTACTATTTGTTTGATTCAAAGCTTGTGTGAATATCCATGATTTATGTGCTTAAGCATATCTGTAACATATGGGAATATAATTTTGCATTAAAGCACTAAAAACTGATACTGCTTGCGAAACATCTTACAATGCACCTGCACACATATATATACACACTAGCAGTGGGTGTACACGCATTGCTTTTGTAATTATACATCTAATTTTTTTTGATGATTTGATGAATGAAGAAGATGGGTTGAATTTGAAATCTGTTTGCAGTTATTAATAACTTTTAACTGTATGGGCATTCTTATAAACAAAGAAAAAGTGTGACTGTTCTGAGTTGTATACTTTATATAATAATAGAATGAATATAATATATATATATATATAATGAATATGTGCATGCACGGAAGCTTGAATACTTCAGGAAGTTCAAATTACCCATTGAATTATTTGTACTAATTGATGAGAATAATGTATTATCTTTACCTAAAAGAGAAGCAATTAGTGAACTTAACCATTGCTTGATACATGTAGCAGGGTTTTTGGGATTCTCAAAAGTTGGGGAAGTCCATTGATGAGCTTGGAGATTATTCTGATCTCAAAAGACAACCAGTTCAATTTGATCATGGTCGGAGCAAGCGAAGAAGCTTTAATAGTCGGAAGTTCCGCCCAAAAACAAGAGAGTGTGCAGATGACTGGGAGCTTCCTATGGATTATTTATGATCTGCTAGGGTCTGGTGCTTCTTTCATCCTTTGTATATAATTTAGATGTGCTTGCTCTCTTGATTCATTATTGCTTTTTAGGTTGTAGTTTTCCCCTTGCGACAATAAGTTGATACTTATCGACAGACAAAAATATGTTTTTTTGTGAAGTGCTTTTCACAACTTATAACATGCCACTGGTTGACACAATATATGTGAATACAAACATTTGGTCATTATACAAAACTCAACTGAACAAGTCTATGTTCCAATGACTTGGAGTGGGCTACATAGATCTATAGCAAGTACGACTTATTCTAGCAGTATAAAAATGAACGCATAATTAAGTTGTACTTGCCCGGCCAACCTTGTGTGCAAAGAGGGTGGTTCTGTCTGTCTTGAGTTTTATTGGTTTGGTGTAGACCATCATATTCGAAAAATTATTGTTAGCTCCTAGGGTCAAGTTGAGGCGGTGCTTCAACTTGATTGTTATTGGTTGAATCAGTGGAACTTATGGAGACAATGGAACACTTGTCCCTCAATGAATGATGTGGAGTAATACTCCAAGACTAACCAATAACTTCTCTCATAGTGGAGAGTTTTGAGAGCATTACTACACTTTGATTACCCTTTCTTCTTCTTTTTTGTGTTTGTGTGTGTGTGTGTTGGTAAATTCTCTTCAGCAGAGGCACCAATCATCTATTTAAGTTGGGCTAGGTTTGTCATGAAATCCCATTATGTTTCGATCTATTTTCTTTTAAATAGACAAAATCTGATATAAAAAAACACTTTCAAAATAAAAAAAAAAATAAACTTTTGAAATTTGATAAAAATGTTGCTCACAAAATTGACCCATGCAGGTCTCCAACCTGCGACCTTCGTGTTATAGGCCACATTTTTTGAATTTCAGATTTAAATTATAAGTAGCATTGTGTAAACAAATTTCAAAGTAGAAAATGGGGCAAAATTTACTTAACCTCCCTATGGTCTGGGCCATGTACAATTTACCTTCTTAACATTTAGAAATGATTGCATAACCCCTATATGATTTGTGAACTAAATTGCACGCTAACTTCTGTTAACACAATATAAAAATTGACCTTTATGTCCTCATCTTCTTCCCTCCTCTCTCTCTCTCTCATGAATTAAACCTATATATATATATATATTCTTTCTTTTTCCTTCCATAGTTGCCAACTATAGCAAATTCTATTCTAAATTCTGCAAACAAAATTTGTTATAACCACCAATGAGAACACAATCCTTAATAAATTTCACACACCTCCTTTTCACCACCCCAACCCTTGCAACCCTTGTGTAGATTCTAGAGAGAGAATAGATAAATTTAGAGAGAGAAAAAGAAGATTAGCATAGCGTTTTACAGGAAGAGTGAAGATGAGGAAGATTGGTGGTTCAAAAATGAAAGGGCCATCAAGCATAACTTTTTGTTGAGACCTATACGAGATTTGTGTATTATTAAAGATTCAATTCATGCATAACTTCGTATATTAATAGTATATTTATATATACTGCGCATGGGGGTCGCACTGTTGTTGGCTGAGAATAAGATAGACCACAATGTACAGTATTATTAAGGTGCCTTTAGATAGTTTTAAGGTCATAATATCAATCAACAAATAGACCTGATTAGATACAAAAATTTAAGTTTAGTAGCATTAAATTCAAATTAGGTATCATCTTTATGTAAAAAAAAAATTGCAAATCAGAAAATCACATATTATATTGTCTTATTTGACAAATGACTTAACCATAAAAATATGTAACTATAGACACCCCATTTTTTACGGCCCTTAAGACTTGAGCGCCACTGATTGATCACTCAATGATGAATGTGTACGCTAGTCAAATGCTTGATTTCCTCAACAAGAAACCTCAATTTTGAATCTACAAACCTTGTGCCTTGTTTTGGACCAAAACAGTAATTTTTCAGGCCTGGGCATCCAGGGACCTGCAGACCCACTAGTGTGGCCTGCCGCCCACTTGTGTAAATTTTCAGATCTTTTTGCCAGCTGTGCTAGCTGTCTCCACAGATGCATGCACTGCACCAGCTGTCTATATAGATATTTTTCAGGTGGTTTCATATATTTCTATATATAGTTGACTCCCTCTCATTTTTTTAGGGATAGAAAATTTTGGATAGCAAAAATTTTGGAAAATATTTCTCTCTACATTTCTCTCTCCCTTGCAACTTACATAACCTTTGCCTAGACACTCTAAACCAAACCTTGAGGGATCTTTGTTGAGGTGCTTAAGCTTGCATTTTAGCACTTGAGAGTGTGAAATTAGTAGTTTGGGAATTCAAGGGATCATTTCTCTTCAAGAGGTATACATTCTAATTCTTTTGTACCATCTCTTTCTCATCTTTTTTTTTTACTATTTTTGAGTTGTTTATCACCTGTATTTTTTTGGGCTGAAACTTGTGCTTTAAAGCCTTTAAAGGTAGAGGAGTGAATCACCCTTCTTTGAACCTTGTTTCATAGGCTTTTACCCTTGTGTTTTCCACATTTTTATCAACTTTTTTTTTGAACTTTTTACCACTGATTTTTAGTGTTTTCTTAAGGCTAAAAATCATGTTTTGAAATCCCAAAAGTTGAGGGGGTAGCCTCCCCTCCTTGTGCTTGTTTATTAGCTTAATTGCTATATGTTTTTAGCTTACTCTTTTAGCTGTTTTTACTTTAATTCCAGCACTGTTTTGAGCTAATTTAGAACTGTTTTTTATGTGTTAGTTTCATATATGCTTTGTATTGCATGTTTGTAGTGTAATGGTCCTCATAGACTTAGTGGTTTAGGCTTTAGTCACAAACTTATTTGAGTTGATAGCATTTATTTTTTACTTTCCATACTTGTGTTCACCTCTAAGCATCTCTGCAATCTCCCCCATTTCTTGGCCTTTTCTCTTTGTTTTGAGAGTTGCTCCCAAAGGAGTGTTGTTTAAGCTTAAAGGATGATATTGTGCTTAATGGTTTAATTCCTTTGGGGGTTCATTACCAACGGCATGACCTCCTTCTCATGCCTAAAATAACATTTGGTTTAACGCTTCTCTCTAATAGTGGACTTAAAGCTCATTATTAGACTTAATTGACTAATGAATGGAATGTAATTAAAATGGAGTAATAAAATTGGGGTTAAAATGAAACAAGATAATAAAATGGTTTGGATTCAATCGGACGTCAATTGAACCTATTGAGTCTTGAGTTATTTCATACTTATTAGTGATGAAAACGGTTCAAGAGTCAATGCCAACCCCTTTTCTTAATCAATCCATGATAGGGAGGAGGTTTTGTTAGTATTTCCTTACCATTTATTGAAATTGTATCCCTTGGTTCATAAGTCATCACACAATGAAATTGCGTTGATTAATGGCTTACGAATCAAGCCTACCCCTCCTTTGAGCTGTTTGATGATAAGAAGAGGCAGGGTGGACAAAACATCCCCTGAGAATGCTCTGTTTGTGCTCTGTTTATTTTCTGTTATAGCTGGAGAAATCCAACATTAGTGGCCGGCATGCCACCTTTACTGTACAGCAGGTCACTATTAGTGGCCGACCGACCACTATTTCTGGCCTGCCAACCACTTTTTTTAACAAGGCAGTGTACTGTTTCCTGCAGAACAGAGTAGAAACTAAGGTGAAAAATCAGTGCAATCTACTAACTGTGCAACAGAAGCATTTCGATAGCAAAACAGAGAGCATTTTCGGTGGAAATCCACATCCATGCATGAAACATCCCTTGATTCTCAGGATCCGTTAAAATAATGTTGTAATAGTAGTATGTTGTGCTTAAAGTAGCGGCACTTGTAACTAATTAATTAGTTTAGTTAGAATAATTAGTTAGTTTTGTGTTGTACTTAATTAATTAACTAAAGTAGTTAGTTAATTTGTAGTGTTGTAATAATTAGCTAGCATAGTTAATTTATTTCATTTGGGTTGTAATAGATTAGTTAATTTGTGCATTTTTTTTCTTGTGTGTGGGACACTTCCCTATCCCATTGGCCGACCAATATATCACCAAATACATACCTAATCATCTCCCATTGTCAAAAAGAGGTTTTGTTTGCATCTATAAAGGACTATCCCATGTAACCACAATCAAAATTTGCCCTCCTATCACATTCTTGTCTCCCGCCTTCTTTTTGACCTTCACTCTCCCTCATTGTCTATATAGAATGATCATATTGTAAGAGAGACAGAGGACCATGAAATTAAAGAGAAAAGAGTGAGAAAATGATGAAAAAAAAGAGAGAAGAATTGAGTTTTTGAGCCAAAAACATTCTTATCTTCCATATACACCCCATACCTTCCATACAAACTAAAATTCCATCTTTCCTACACCCAAAACTCCTCCAAAAACACCATACATACCTAGAGTTCCATTCTAGTTTTAAATTGAGGATTGAGAACACACTTCCTAAACTTGAGGGTGATCAAGAGGAAGTTTAGAAATCAAGAAGTTCAATCTTTCTTTGGAAGGTAAATTCCTAGTCTTTCATTTTCTTATATTTTCTATCTCATATTTATTTTCTTGCTTCTTATTTCATAGTGTTTTGTTATAATTTAAACAGTTTGTTTATCTAATATTTATTTTCTTACTTTATATTTCATAGTGTGTTGTTGTAATCTAAGTGGTTTGTTTAACTCATAATTATTTATTTATTTATTTTTATTCGCTTGCTTTAATTTCATGTTAGTTTTGTTATAATCTTATATGTTCTACCTTATATTTGCTTCCTTGTTTTAGGTTCATGTTAGTTTAGTTGTAATCTTACATGTTCTATATTATATTTGCTTTCTTGTTTTAGTTTCATAGTAATTGTGTTGTAATCTTACATTTCTTAGCTTATATTTTTCTTGTATTAGTTTCATATTAGTTTTATTGTAATCTTGCATGATCTACCTTATATTTGCTTTTTTTGTTTTAGGTTCATGTTAGTTTCGTTGTAATCTTGCATGTTCTATCTTATATATATATATATATATATATATATATATATATTCTTGTTTTAGTTTTATAGTAATTATGTTGTAATCTTGCATTTCCTAATTTATATTTTTCTTATATTAGTCTCATATTAGTTTTGTTGTAATCTTACATCTTCTACCTTATATTTGTTTTCTTGTTTTAGGTTCATGTTAGTTTTGTTGTAAGTTTGCACTTTTTTATTTTATTGTTTTTAATATAACCGGTAGTGATTAGTTGAGCTACCTACATATTTCTTGTTTGTTCATTTTCTTGGTTTCGCAATAAGACAGGTT